GTTTGTCCTTCATGAGCCTTCGTAGACAAGATGGCGGTGCAAGATGGCGGCTGCCTGTGTGGCGACCCGCGACCATGGAGATATAAACAGCTTTTTATAAGGCAAAAATAATCAAACATGGTCTTTGTCTGCAATGATTAGACATGTTTTTTTATTATTGTCTTTAGTGATAATCTCAATTTTGGCTAAAAGAATTGACAAAATCTTACTGAGTGCAATTGTTTTTGTGGGTAAACAGTTACAAAATAAATCTGGGGTTGGATTACAGACCTTCCTCGCCTCCTGTGCCTTTAAAGCAGCTTGTAATACTATTCAACTAAATTGCTCAGGGGGACAGACAAGTATTGCTATGTTTCATCCTTTGAATTAGTTTATTTTTAATTTTAAAATATTTTTATATTAAATTAAGTTAAAAATATAACTGGTGGGGCTCATTTGTGGTCCGGATGGAAATCACCCACAGACCAAATGTGGTCTTGAGTTTGACATGTGGTTTTAGAGTGAATTAACCTAAAGTGTATGTGTATTTTTTTTGTTTTGTTTTGTTTTATTTTTTTGTCTGTGGAAGGGAAACAGAACACCTAGAGAAAATCTTTGTATGTGCAGGAAGAACATGCAAACCACATAAAAAAGCAGCAGAGGTGAAGCTCGGACTTATTGTTGCTCCGCTGTGCTGCCTTTGATTCTTTAAAAAAATAATTTTATTATCTTCCCACTAGTTTTAACCCAGGTCTTGTCTGCCTGTAGGTCACCCGGTCAGAGTGTAGGAGACTGTCCTGAGCTGGCTGTAAAACTCCAGATTTTTATGTCCACCTTCTTCAGCAGCCTGCCGTCTGAAGAGAGAGGTGCAACCGAACTGAATCTGACTAAAGCGTCGATTTATGTTTCGTGATTAAATTGTCCTTTTAATCCTGACAGTGTGATCTGCACAGGTCATGTGTTGCTTCAGCTGATTCAGCAGCTGGGCTCTAAGCACTGGTGCGCGGTACCCCTCCTCTTCGTCTGTCAGGCTCTGTCCAAACTCCCCCCGAGTCCTCTGCTGAGGGACAGCGGGCTCTCTGCTCTCAGGTAACTCATGGTCTTTATAGTTAAAACAGGGTTGAAGTTCTTTATGCTAAACAGGGAGGATTATTTTTTTGCCTTTCATTTTGCAGAGAGGTGCTGCGCTGCACCATGATCACCCATCAGGTCCTGCTGAGAGGAGCTGCTCAGTGTTTTTTGTTAAACAGCGCCCTCTGTCTCACAGCAGTGGTAAGACAGTTGACAGTATTTTAATTTTAGGTACTTATACATAAAATAATAAACAAAATAGCAAAATAAACAGATACTGGTTAACATTTCACATTATTTTTAAATTGCTAATTAAAGCAAGGTGCTAAATTAAAAATGTTTAACCTCAAAACGAAACATGAAAATGACTTATTTTTCTACTTTATTCAAATCGTTTTAAACTCAATTAACTTTCTAACTGAATTACAAATAAAATATAAAAAATTTCCCATCAGATTCAATTATTGCTTCTGATAGTTTAAACCAGGAGCAAAACTATCTGTGGGAGTCACTGTTTTGGTGCATTTTAAGATTTTTCTGCAGTTTTTAATTAATTTTTTTCTTCCCCAACTTGATTTATTTTTCTAACACATATTTTAAAAGCAAAATAAGTAAACATTTTTCTTTTATTCCAGAGTGAAGTGACCCTGGATGACATGTTTAGTTTCCTGACACATTTCCGTGCCGATGAATCGTTGTGTAGAGGGACGGAGCTCTGGAATCAGGTTTACTGTTGACATGTGTTATATTTCTAGAAATGTTATGTTTTAGACATTCAACTGATCATTTGACACATTTGCAGCTGTGTGCCTGGCTTTTGGAACATGAAAACAGTTTCAAGCCCAGAATGTTAGYTGAGGATGAGGATGCTGACACAAGAAAGGAAACCATCAGAGCTTATGTTCAAAGTGAAGTACTCTCCTATCTCCAGGTTCCAGCTAGTACGGGTAATTCTGCTCTGACACTCTCATGAATAAACAGAATAACTGTGTCTGAGTTTCTGACGTGATGCTTCCTGTCACACAGGCCAGCCTGAGAGGCTGCCTGACTGCAGAGAGGCTGATAAGCTGGCCCGAGCCGTTCTGCTGTGTGTGGACGTGGAGCGGATCCGCCTGGGAGCAGAGGTCAGTAGCGTCCTGGAGTCTCTGCTGCGCCCCCTGCTGGACACTCTGAGCAGGATCAGCACCAACGTCTACCTGCCTGTACGGAAGAGCGACAAGAGCCTGCAGCTGCTGCTGCGACTGCTGCAGCTCGCAACAGGAGGTGAGGAAGGTCTGTAATCCAACCCCAGATTTATTTTGTAACTGTTTACCCACAAAAACAATTGCACTCAGTAAAATTGAAGTCACTTAATTTGACTTAATTTTTTCTTATTTCAAGAATCTTACCAAGTGCAAAAGGAACATTAACTTAATTTGAGTCAAATGTCCAGGCTAACAGGATAAATAATCTTACACATTCTGTTCTCGTTTAGTAAATCAGTCTCAAAACGAGATTAATATATAT